TCAACACCACCACCCACACCTGACCCCCGTCAACACCACCACCCACACCTGACACCCGTCAACAAGACCACCCACACCTGACCCCCGTCAACACCACCACCAACACCTGACCCCCGTCAACACCACCACCCACACCTGACCCCCGTCAACACCACCACCCACACCTGACCCCCCGTCAACACCACCACCCACACCTGACCCCCCGTCAACACCACCACCCACACCTGACCCCCGTCAACACCACCACCCACACCTGACCCCCCGTCAACACCACCACCCACACCTGACCCCCCGTCAACACCACCACCCACACCTGACCCCCGTCAACACCACCACCCACACCTGACCCCCGTCAACACCACCACCCACACCTGACCCCCGTCAACACCACCACCCACACCTGACCCCCGTCAACACCACCACCCACACCTGACCCCCGTCAACACCACCACCCACACCTGACCCCCGTCAACACCACCACCCACACCTGACCCCCGTCAAGACCACCACCCACACCTGACCCCCGTCAACACCACCACCCACACCTGACCCCCGTCAAGACCACCACCCACACCTGACCCCCGTCAAGACCACCACCCACACCTGACCCCCGTCAAGACCACCACCCACACCTGACCCCCGTCAAGACCACCACCCACACCTGACCCCCGTCAAGACCACCACCCACACCTGACCCCCGTCAAGACCACCCACCCACACCTGACCCCCGTCAAGACCACCACCCACACCTGACTCCCATCAAGACCACCGCCCACACCTGACCCCCGTCAAGACCACCACCCACACCTGACCCCCGTCAAGACCACCACCCACACCTGACTCCCATCAAGACCACCACCCACACCTGACCCCCGTCAAGACCACCACCCACACCTGACCCCCGTCAAGACCACCACCCACACCTGACTCCCATCAAGACCACCGCCCACACCTGACCCCCGTCAAGACCACCACCCACACCTGACCCCCGTCAAGACCACCACCCACACCTGACTCCCATCAAGACCACCACCCACACCTGACCCCCGTCAAGACCACCACCCACACCTGACCCCCGTCAAGACCACCACCCACACCTGACCCCCGTCAAGACCACCACCCACACCTAACTCCCATCAAGACCACCGCCCACACCTGACCCCCGTCAAGACCACCACCCACACCTGACCCCCGTCAACACCACCACCCACACCTGACCCCCGTCAAGACCACCACCCACACCTGACCCCCGTCAACACCACCACCACACCTGACCCCCGTCAACACCACCACCCACACCTGACCCCCGTCAAGACTACCAACCACACCTGACCCCCCGTCAACACCACCACCCACACCTGATCCCTGTCAACACCACCACCCACACCTGACCCCCGTCAAGACCACCAACCACACCTGACCCCCCGTCAACACCACCACCCACACCTGACCCCCCGTCAACACCACCACCCACACCTGACCCCCGTCAATACAACCACCCACACCTGACCCCCGTCAACACCACCACCCACACCTGACCCCCGTCAACACCACCACCCACACCTGACCCCCGTCAACACCACCACCCACACCTGATCCCCCGTCAACACCACCACCCACACCTGACCCCCGTCAACACCACCAATTACACCTGACCCCCCGTCAACACCACCACCCACACCTGACCCCCCGTCAACACCACCACCCACACCTGACCGCCGTCAACACCACCACCCACACCTGACCCCCGTCAACATCACCACCCACACCTGACCCCCGTCAACACCACCACCCACACCTGACCCCCGTCAACACTACCACCCACACCTGACCCCCGTCAACACCACCACCCACACCTGACCCCCGTCAAGACCACTACTCACACCTGACCCCCGTTAAGACCACCACCCACACCTGACCCCCGTCAACACCACCACCCACACCTGACCCCCGTAAAGACCACCACCCACACCTGACCCCCGTCAAGACTACCAACCACACCTGACCCCCCGTCAACACCACCACCCACACCTGACCCCCGTCAACACCACCACCCACACCTGACCCCCGTCAAGACCACCACCCACACCTGACTCCCATCAAGACCACCGCCCACACCTGACCCCCGTCAAGACCACCACCCACACCTGACCCCCGTCAAGACCACCACCCACACCTGACTCCCATCAAGACCACCACCCACACCTGACCCCCGTCAAGACCACCACCCACACCTGACCCCCGTCAAGACCACCACCCACACCTGACTCCCATCAAGACCACCGCCCACACCTGACCCCCGTCAAGACCACCACCCACACCTGACCCCCGTCAAGACCACCACCCACACCTGACTCCCATCAAGACCACCACCCACACCTGACCCCCGTCAAGACCACCACCCACACCTGACCCCCGTCAAGACCACCACCCACACCTGACCCCCGTCAAGACCACCACCCACACCTGACTCCCATCAAGACCACCGCCCACACCTGACCCCCGTCAAGACCACCACCCACACCTGACCCCCGTCAAGACCACCACCCACACCTGACCCCCGTCAAGACCACCACCCACACCTGACCAGCGTCAAGACCACCACCCACACCTGACCCCCATCAAGACCACTACCTACACCTGACCCCCGTCAAGACCACCACCCACACCTGACCCCCGTCAAAACCACCACCCGCACCTGACCCCCATCAAGACCACTACCTACACCTGACTCCCATCAAGACCACCGTCCACACCTGACCCCCGTCAAGACCATCACCCACACCTGACCCCCGTCAAGACCACCAACCACACCTGACTCCCATCAAGACCACCACCCACACCTGACCCCCGTCAAGACCACCACCCACACCTGACTCCCATCAAGACCACCGCCCACACCTGACCCCCGTCAAGCCCACCACCGACACCTGACCCCCTTCAAGACCACCACCCACACCTGACTCCCATCAAGACCACCGTCCACACCTGACCCCCGTCAAGCCTACCTCCCACACCTGACCCCCATCAAGACCACTACCTACACCTGACCCCCGTCAAGACCACCACCCACACCTGACTCCCATCAAGAGCACCACCCACACCTGACTACCATCAAGACCACCGCCCACACCTGACCCCCGTCAAGACCACCACCACACCTGACTCCCATCAAGACCACCGCCCACACCTGACCCCCGTCAAGACCACCGCCCACACCTGACCCCCGTCAAGACCACCACCCACACCTGACCCCCGTCAAGACCACCACCCACACCTGACTCCCATCAAGACCACCACCCACACCTGACCCCCGTCAAGACCACCACCCACACCTGACTCATATCAAGACCACCAGCCACACCTTACCCCCGTCAAGACCACCACCCACACCTGACCCCCGTCAAGACCACCACCCACACCTGACTTCCATCAAGACCACCGCCCACACCTGACCCCCGTCAAGCCCACCACCCACACCTGACCCCCGTCAAGACCACCACCCACACCTGACTCCCATCAAGACCACCACCCACACCTGACCCGGCCCCGTCAAGACCACCATCCACACCTGACCCCCGTCAAGACCACCACCCACACCTGACCCCCGTCAAGACCACCACCCACACCTGACCCCCCGTCAACACCACCACCCACACCTGACCCCCCGTCAACACCACCACCCACACCTGACCCCCCGTCAACACCACCACCCACACCTGACCCCCGTCAACACCACCAACCACACCTGACCCCCGTCAACACCACCACCCACACCTGACCCCCGTCAAGACCACCACCCACACCTGACTCCCGTCAAGAGCACCACCCACACCTGACTCCCATCAAGACCACCGCCCACACCTGACCCCCGTCAAGACCACCACCCACACCTGACTCCCATCAAGACCATTGCCCACACCTGGCCCCCGTCAAGACCACCGCCCACACCTGACCCCCGTCAAGACCACCGCCCACACCTGACCCCCGTCAAGACCACCACCCACACCTGACTCCCATCAAGACCACCACCCACACCTGACCCCCGTCAAGACCACCACCCACACCTGACTCCCATCAAGACTACCACCCACACCTGACCCCCGTCAAGACCACCACCCACACCTGACTCCCATCAAGACCACCACCCACACCTGACCCCCGTCAAGACCACCACCCACACCTGACTCCCATCAAGACCACCACCCACACCTGACCCCCGTCAAGACCACCACCCACACCTGACCCCCGTCAAGACCACCACCCACACCTGACTCCCATCAAGACCACCACCCACACCTGACCCCCGTCAAGACCACCACCCACACCTGACCCCCGTCAAGACCACCACCCACACCTGACCCCCATAAAGACCACCAACCACACCTGACCCCCCGTCAACATCACCACCCACACCTGACTCCCATCAAGACCACCAACCACACCTGACCCCCCGTCAACACCACCACCCACACCTGACTCCCATCAAGACCACCGCCCACACCTGACCGAACAAAGAACATCAGCAAGAAAGAGTATACACAGTTTAATGAAACAAACAGGAAAGGTTCTTCACCCTTGCATGTTAAAGTGATGCTTAAGATGTGAAACATAAAGGAACACAACAACCTGTCCTCTTACAAATTGTCTCTGAATTTGGCCGTTTACCCATATGGCCGAAAATTTTCATAATTTTAAAATGAAAATAAATTTGGGATTATTTTTTCCAAAACAGTAAGTTTAGGGTCCTCTGGTAGGTTAGGAGGAAATTTAGGAAATTCTCCTAAACTTTCAAAACGTTATGAAAAAAATTAATTGAATGTTTCCTCTCCTAACTTTTCCCAGTAAGCCCGAGGACAAACAGAAAAAGGGACAGTACATCACTTGCGTGAACCGATTTCATTTCAAATTACGTCCATTTTTGGCCATTGCGCACATATGAGTGAAAAGCGACGTTATTTTTAAGAGAACGAGTTGGACAAACAACTTCATTTCCATACTTAGCGTAATATTTTGCGAACGGATAAGATCCCCATAGCGCTGGGCGATATGGTCCTGGGCTCTCTTGATAAAGGCCGCGTATGAGACCAAAGAAAACGGGAGCACCTGAGGTGTCCAAGAAGAGAACGTTCACATAGCCTTGAGTAATGAGAAATTATCATATATTATAATTTCAAATTAAATCTGTATTATAATCATAAGACTGTAAAGAAAATCGTACAAAAGGTTTTAAGGCATACCTTAGACTCCGAGAGCACCACAGCGAGGTCCCCCCACATGGCTGCCACAGCAGAGTGGAAGTGGAAGCCTTTGTCATATATTTCATCCACCACAGCGAAGGTTTCATACAGTGTGTGGTACATGGGTTCTCCAATGGTACTCTGTACGAATATTTATAAGTATATTGGGTTTGTGAGAGTACACAACATTGGTGTTCTTACATTGTTGCAAAGCCACTAACACATATTTAACTATTTTAAGATTAAAGTTATACATCAAAAGTTTCTAATTTAAGAACTTCACTACACTTCATACAATTCAGTTATTCTTCTTGCTCTGCAGTATTTTAATCGTCAGTGGAAAATGTAGAGTAAAAACTAAATATTAGAATATAACGGTTCAAGAGCTTCACATGACGTAGGTGGCCTTTTTTCCCGCCAAAACCGTTAGTCATGGCGTCTGTTTGGTTAATAAACCATTCAAACACAAGAAAATAAAAAATATTGTTATTATGCAGACAAAAAGAGCACAGTACCGTGCCTAAAAATTCAACATCAATGCACAACTCTGAAAATTACGGAATTGACAAATTTTAGGTCCATCCTGAATCATTATCAAGTACTAAATATTTATTATTATTAACGTCTTTATTGACAAAATTAATTAAAATTTTTGCCTAATCTAAGGATTTCAATAAGTCGTATTAAAGTAAGAATAATGCTGGTATTCACTGTCACACAGGATATAGGGTCATACACAAGACAATAGGTTTAAACTGTAGGCTGAAGCACATATATATCATGGTTACAATCAATGTTTTAATGTCTGAATATGTAAAAACAACTTTCTACTGTGCACTGCCACACAAGGGCAGGGATGGGTTCATATGGACTTAATACTGATGAACAGTGGACCGAAACGTCTTCACTTCTATTATTCTCAGATCTGCAGGTTGTGTCTTAGTTTTATTTATTTTAATTATATTCGGTTTCCGCCTCTTGTTGCAATTATGGGGCTGTTGCCTCGGAGGAGATTTCTTTTTTTGTTGAATTTTTTGCTTAATCTGATGCAGCACATTTGCAGGTAAACAGTTTGTCAAAATCCTTCGTTTGATAAACTGTGCATGGAGTCTGCCTCCACAACCTCTCTCTGCTTATTTTCCTCTGTCTCTCCCTCTGCCCCCCCCCTCTCTCTCTCTCTCTCTCTCTCCCCATTTCTGTGTCTGATTCTCTGTGAGTGTCTTATTCTATCCGTCTGTCCATTTGTCTCTCTCTCATTCTGTATGTCTATCTGTCTAGGTCTAATGTGTCGCTCTGTGTCTCTATATTGTTCCTGTCTGTCTTACTCTGCCCCTGTCTGTCTCATGCTTTGTGTTCTACATACATACATACATACATACATACATACATACATACATACATACATACATACATACATACATACATACATACATACATACATACATACATATATATATATACCTCAGGAGCCTAATCAGAAGCAATTATTTTCTGAATATACTTACTCATTATAACCAACTGACCCAGATAAATTAATTAAATGTAAATTATTTTGCTGGCTACTGTCCTCTCATTATAATATATACATATTCTTCCTTGGATTATGTATCCATAATGCACACATTTAAACCCAAAATAGATTAGGGTTGCCATATCTGAACAGTCACTTCCACTAACAGCCCCGCCCTACACATACTTTGGCCCTTTGGCACTCTCTCTCTCTCTCTCTTATATATATATATATATATATATATATATATATATATATATATATATATATATATATATACTTTAGAACACTTTCCCACCAGGAGACTCGAACCCTAGCCAGCACAGAAGCCTTCCAGCAACTGGCATAACAGGTACGCCTTAACCCTCTGCACCACCGCTCAGACCCTTAAAAGAGATGGTAATTTCGGAGTATTTAAATCCCCCAAAGATCAACACCTCCCAAGAGCACCAGAGCAAGTGAGGGGTCATTTAGACGTTAATTTCATCAAGTCCCTGTTAATATGGGAAGACACAGTGTCTCTGCTTAAGGCACAACTCTCCTAAACACGAGAGTGAAGTATACAACTTTAGAACACTTTCCCACCAGGAGACTCGAACCCTAGCCAGCACAGAAGCCTTCCAGCAACTGGCATAACAGGTACGCCTTAACCCTCTCCACCACCGCTCAGACGGTGGTGTATATATATATATATATATATATATATATATATATATATATATATATATATATATATATATATATATATATATATATATATATATATATATATATATATATATATATATATATATATATATATATATATATATATATATATATATACATATACATATATACACACATATATATATTAGTATATTTTGGTAGCAGTCTTTCCTGTAGACATATATTATTAAATATGACCGAAAAAGTAAGATTAATAATTCTAACACGAATTTTCTCAATCTTTCGTACATTACGCTTCACTGTTGGAGGTAAATCAAAAATCACTTCTCCAAAATTCATTTTTATTTCTAGTCTGACGCGACACGGGCGCGTTTCGTAAAACTTATTACATTTTCAAAGACTTCACAAATACACAACTGATTAGAACTTACGTCTCTCTGATATTATATCTACATTTGAGTGAGGTGGGAAGGGTGATGTGGCATTAACACAAGACAGAACAGGAGGGGATATTAATAGGGTATTAAAAGTATCAACACAAGACAGAACAGAAACAATGGGTATTGAATAGAAGTGTTTGTAGAAAGCCTATTGGTCCATATTTCTTGATGCTTCTATATTGGAGCGGAGTCTTGAGGTGGGTAGAATATAGTTGTGCAATAATTGGCTGTTGATGGTGTTGACTTCTTGATGTGTAGTGCCTCGCAAACGTCAAGCCGCCTGCTATCGCTGTATCTATCGATGATTTCTGTGTTGTTTACTAGGATTTCTCTGGCGATGGTTTGGTTATGGGAAGAGATTATATGTTCCTTAATGGAGCCCTGTTGCTTATGCATCGTTAAACGCCTAGAAAGAGATGTTGTTGTCTTACCTATATACTGGGTTTTTTGGAGCTTACAGTCCCCAAGTGGGCATTTGAAGGCATAGACGACGTTAGTCTCTTTTAAAGCGTTCTGTTTTGTGTCTGGAGAGTTTCTCATGAGTAGGCTGGCCGTTTTTCTGGTTTTATAGTAAATCGTCAGTTGTATCCTCTGATTTTTGTCTGTAGGGATAACGTTTCTATTAACAATATCTTTCAGGACCCTTTCCTCCGTTTTATGAGCTGTGGAAAAGAAGTTCCTGTAAAATAGTCTAATAGGGGGTATAGGTGTTGTGTTAGTTGTCTCTTCAGAGGTTGCATGGCTTTTCACTTTCCTTCTTATGATGTCTTCGATGAAACCATTGGAGAAGCCGTTATTGACTAGGACCTGCCTTACCCTACAGAGTTCTTCGTCGACTTGCTTCCATTCTGAGCTGTGGCTGAGAGCACGGTCGACGTATGCGTTAACAACACTCCTCTTGTACCTGTCGGGGCAGTCGCTGTTGGCATTTAGGCACATTCCTATGTTTGTTTCCTTAGTGTAGACTGCAGTGTGGAAACCTCCGCCCTTTTCCATGACTGTTACATCTAGAAAAGGCAGCTTCCCATCCTTTTCCGTCTCGTAAGTGAAACGCAGCACGGAACTCTGCTCAAATGCCTCCTTCAGCTCCTGCAAATGTCTGACATCAGGTACCTGTGTAAAAATGTCGTCAACATACCTGCAGTATATGGCCGGTTTCAAGTTCATGTCGACTAAGACTTTTTGCTCGATGGTACCCATGTAGAAGTTTGCAAACAGGACACCTAGGGGAGAACCCATGGCGACCCCATCTACTTGCTTATACATGTGCCCATCCGGGCTCAAGAAGGGTGCCTCTTTAGTACAAGCTTGGAGTAGTTTCCTCAGAATACTTTCTGGCATGTCAAGAGGAGTACAGGCTGGATCACGATACACTCTGTCGGCTATCATTCCGATTGTCTCGTCCACAGGTACGTTGGTAAACAGCGAAAATGAACATCATACTCTCTGACCAAACTAAGTTCCAAAGGGTAACGAAGGACACTACAGCCGAATTAAAAGCAAAGGTCAACAAACTGATCGAAACTGTGAACGCCAAGAAATCCGGACTCCACCTGCCAAAGATCATTGGGGAATATAAACCTGGATATGCGTATGGAAATGTCAAGACGCACAAGCCTGGAAACCCACTTCGGCCAATCATTAGCCAGATACCCACACCCACGTACAGACTGGCGAAGCGACTCAACGGCCTGCTGACTCCTTATGTTCCTTGCGCCTTCAGCCTGAAGTCTCCAAAGGAATTTGTGGACTTACTGCGGGGCACACGGGCCACAGGGATAAGAGCCTCGTTGGACGTAGAATCGCTGTTTACCAACGTACCTGTGGACGAGACAATCGGAATGATAGCCGACAGAGTGTATCGTGATCCAGCCTGTACTCCTCTTGACATGCCAGAAAGTATTCTGAGGAAACTACTCCAAGCTTGTACTAAAGAGGCACCCTTCTTGAGCCCGGATGGGCACATGTATAAGCAAGTAGATGGGGTCGCCATGGGTTCTCCCCTAGGTGTCCTGTTTGCAAACTTCTACATGGGTACCATCGAGCAAAAAGTCTTAGTCGACATGAACTTGAAACCGGCCATATACTGCAGGTATGTTGACGACATTTTTACACAGGTACCTGATGTCAGACATCTGCAGGAGCTGAAGGAGGCATTTGAGCAGAGTTCCGTGCTGCGTTTCACTTACGAGACGGAAAAGGATGGGAAGCTGCCTTTTCTAGATGTAACAGTCATGGAAAAGGGCAGAGGTTTCCACACTGCAGTCTACACTAAGGAAACAAACATAGGAATGTGCCTAAATGCCAACAGCGACTGCCCCGACAGGTACAAGAGGAGTGTTGTTAACGCATACGTCGACCGTGCTCTCAGCCACATCTCAGAATGGAAGCAAGTCGACGAAGAACTCTGTAGGGTAAGGCAGGTCCTAGTCAATAACGGCTTCTCCAATGGTTTCATCGAAGACATCATAAGAAGGAAAGTGAAAAGCCATGCAACCTCTGAAGAGACAACTAACACAACACCTATACCCCCTATTAGACTATTTTACAGGAACTTCTTTTCCACAGCTCATAAAACGGAGGAAAGGGTCCTGAAAGATATTGTTAATAGAAACGTTATCCCTACAGACAAAAATCAGAGGATACAACTGACGATTTACTATAAAACCAGAAAAACGGCCAGCCTACTCATGAGAAACTCTCCAGACAC